AACCTGTACAAACATGTATAAATATCATCCTTTAGAGCAAACTTCTACAAATATTTTTTTGTAACCCTTTAATAGGATGTAACAAACCAGCTGTTTTTGTTCCATTGAAGTGCTCCCGCTGTCGCTCTAGGAGGCTCTGTGGCAAACTGCTACAAGAACTGATGCCATCATCAAGTTTATCGACAATTATCAAACCCTTGACTCTGCCAACAACAGATGAGTTATCTTATTAGAAAATGATCCAACAAAGTAAATGTTTGTACATGATTTGCACATAAATTTAAGCTATCATTTAATGAATTCACAGTATGTCTTTAAATGGGATCATAGTTTTTCTATTCATAAATGAGTTATATTTTGGAATGGCACATCGGCAATGAAAATTTTGCAATCTACTTTAACTCTAATCTCATCATGTCAGAACAAATTATATTTCTTTACAATGAATATGGATTCTAATAATTTAACAAACATTTGGCAGAAAATCATAGAGGAAAAAGACAAGAAATGGGATCATCCACTGACGGTCAGATTCTGCCAAGATATTTGCAATATAGAAAAAAATGACAATTTTTCAAAACCCACCCCACATCATTAGAATAGAAAGGAGACAGATGAACCAGCTATAGATAAATTGGTAACTCAGCATCTACAGTTGAAGAACCAAAACCCAAATATAATTATATATACAAGTCAATAATTTCAACTTCCATTCTTGAAAATTTTAGTCCTGTCCCTAAAGATTATGTGTGATAGACAAAGAACAATTTGGATTCATTGGACAATTATTTCATGCTCTTGAGCTTGAAAGTATATGGGAAATCATTGATTGTTCAAGTAGTCCAAGGCTCCAATTTATCAAGCAGAAGGTAACATCAAAAAATTTTGAAAAAAGAAATATTAAAAGGCCCGACTGAATCTGAATTTAGGGGAATGGGGTCATCTAGAAGGTATAATCATAACCTTGATCCAAAGTATCTGAAAATAATAGTAAAAAGCCTAACAAGGATAAAGTACCTATAATGTAGCTATAAAGCAACAAGAAAGCAACAAGTTTAAGCAATCTCTTCTAACTAATTAAAGAAGATATCACTTGAGCAAAAAGAAAGCATCAGTTGATCAACTACAAAGTCAATAGAAAGAAAACAATAACAAAAAGAAAAAGAAACTAATCAAAACTCACATCATCATAAGCCTTAATATGAGATACTTCTCTAACCCTTAAAAATTAGCATACTTATTCCTTAACAATTTAGTATATGCCCAAATCCCAACTACCAGAAAACCCATTGATAAAAGCTGTTGAGCAAATACAATACCAAAATAGTATTTGGTTGTTTAGCAAGAAAGTAGCGCCATAAACATACTGTTATATCAGTTGATTAAGCTTTCAGATTTATTAGTAACTGAACACTTCAAACCAATAAATTAAAACTAGAAAGTTAATTGAAGTAATTGAGAAGCAGATAGCTTTCTGTTAGTGCCTGGATTGGAGAAGAACCAAAGGATGATGGCACAGAGAACTAGAACAAGAGGGATAAGATGGATTGCGTTCTCTGCAGATCGGAGACGAGACCTCTCCTTCTTAGCAACGTCGGAAAGAGGATGGTATGTGGGCAGTTGTTGCTGGTCCTCGTCTGTGTAATTTTTGTTTGTGTTCTTGAAGGATTCTTCAGCCACACGAGAACTGCTAGATGATCTCTGCATCTTCTTTTTCTTCTTCTTCTTCCTCCTCGGGTTAGAAAGAGAAGAGAGAAATATGGAGACGGAAAGCAGTTTGGTTTCCGAGAAAGTGTTTTTCGGTTTCTTGGTGGGTTAAATACTTAATAACTACTGTCGATTCCCCCACAGCCCACGCACGAAAGGAAATGGTTCAGGCGAAAAACCTTTGTTCGGCAGAAAAAAATCCCTCAGGCCTCATCATTTCAATTTTTTTTAAAATGTCCAGAGTAGTATTTTTTTTTTAACTTTTTTTAAAATCCATTTAATTTCTTTATCATACATCTTTTCTAAAATTTTTATAACACATTAATCTCTAATATTAATAGATAATTAATATTTTATATTAAATGATCATTTGTTTAATGTAAAAATTTAAAAACAAAACACTGAATTTATATACTTTATTCCTATTATTTTTCATTTATGGATACTGGATTGTTTTGCACAAATACTTTAGATCTTACTTAATTGCATAATCCTAATTTGCAATCAATAATTAATTTTGGCATGCTAGGATAAAACCATGATGTTAATAGAATATTAAAAATAATGAATGATGGGTTACCAAAAGAAAAATGATGGAATGGTGGAATGGAAATAATTTGATAAAAAGAAAAAAGAAAAAAAAAAAAAGGATAAAGAGAGAGAAGTGTGAGTGATAATTACGTAAAAAGAATGCGTATCATTAATTCATTATTATTCTTTTAAAAATAAAAGGTTGAAATGTATATTCTCCAACTTGTAAAAGATAAGCACTTCTTGACTCAGTAGCAAGTGCTTATGTGATTTAATAATAAATTTAGGTTCCACTTTCTTTCTCAACACTAAAAAAAGAACTTGTAAAAGAGAAAAAAAAATGTTTGTTTATGTAATTTTTGAAAGAGAATTTCACGGTAGAGGGAATGATTTATAATTACACCATTTTATAGAATAAATATCAATTTAATTACTGTTTTCTTTTTGAGATTGATTTGATTACTGTTACTCTTTGCTCAATTTGTAATTATGGTAATTTTTCTAATTAATTGTGTTTTTTAATGGATGAGTATAAATAATATGGCATGCTGAATTAAAAATCTTTTCATGTTTTTTACTGCAATAATCCGATAGACTTCGCTTAGAACTTCACTCTGTATTTATATTTTCATACTATTTTTTAATTAGTATTAAACTGATATTATGAGTGCGCTTTTGTGTTTCTATCAAGATCTACGAGGAAAAATAATAGTATTAAATTAAAGCAATGAAGTTGAAAATAAACAAATAAATTTATGTTAGGTTTTACGGTGAATATGATTCAAATTCAAAATCTTTCATTCATTATATTAGTGAAAAGATCAACTAGACCATACCTAATTGGCAATGTTGAATAAAAATTTTATTTATGTAAACAAAGTATGATTCAATGGTTTGATGAGCTTATGAGTACTATCTTTGCTGTATAAATAGGATATAAACAAATCAACTTGTTTATGAGCTGCTCAGTAGTTGGTTTAAAAAAAAAAAACATTTTTGATAAGCTTATTTAATACACAAGCTAAATTCAAATTCGAGATTAAATTTTTAAAATTATAAATAAAAATCAAATGAAATTTATATTTATATTTTCAATCTAAACAGTTATTTATATTTATATTTTCAATCTAAACAGTTATTTTTATTCTGGTTCAAGCTCAAACTTAACACTATTTAGCTCATTAATTTATAGCACTATGCATAGGATCATTCTAGTGAATGGGATTATGATAAATGAAGCACTAGTTGGATAGAGTGAAATAAGATTTTGAATCTATTATCTATGAGTACTCTTTTTTGATATTATTAATAATTTAGCCAATTAATCTTTTCAAGTAAAAACAAAAAAGCGCTGTGCATAGGATTAGGATTATTCACTGATAAATGTAGACATTATGAGTTAATCAAGAAAAATTAATTATCCCCTCAGAACCTATTCTAGAACTTCTATTTAAAGCCACCGTTTTAGACCATTATAAAAAAAGGAAAAAAATATCTTTACGTGCACGTGTCTTACAGGAGCGCGTTAGATTTACTTCTTTTTGTTCTTATACAGATTCACTTCCTGACTTCTTTTTCGTTTACGGCGATAAGTTTGTTGCTACACGCGCATCCAAGGCTCGTGGACTTGAATCGTCTTGATTTGTGAGCCACATGATTTACCGCACATATATGCAGGTTCGAAGCAGCTTGTTCAGGCAGGCAACAAACGACTAGTTTTCGAATCTCAATCGAAACTTCTTCTCAGCTGCGACCAATTTCCTATTTCTAACCAGTCGGCAAATTTCCTAATTTTAATTAGATTTATATACTAATTAAAAATTTTAAATATTATTTCAAGAATACCACATTCTTATATTTAGAATGTACATGCCCATTATCTATTAGCCTTATCAAAATAATTACCACTAAGATTATTATTTTCAATTTAATATTTTTATATGATTACTGTGTCACTAAATACTCATTCGTGATTTAAATATTTTTAATGTAATCACATTGTTATTAATTACTCATTCATTGTTTTCAATAGTTGTAAACTATCAACAACAATCAGCTAATCATATGAGGTCTTTTTCAATAATATTAACTGTTTTATTATTTTATTTATTATATTTTAAATATTAATATACAGTTATGTCATCCAATAATATAAATTTATTATAGTACACTGAACTGGCTGCTGTATGAGTGATGAAAATTTAATTTAATTCCTCATAATAGGCATGATAGTCTTTGGCGATGGTCGTTAGCTTTTGAAGGCCGCTAACTGCAATATTAATTAATTCAATTTTTTTTAATTATTAAAACAAAATAGCAAAAAAATTCACAGATTTTAAATCTATTTATTCATATCAATTTTGATTCAATTATAATTTAGAATCGACATGACAATCATGTCTACATAATAAAATGAGCTTTATTTATTTATTTTCTCATATATTTTGGGTTTTTAATTTCCAATTAAAATGAATTACAGAATCTCTGTCTCTATGGCAAATTCAATTTTTATATTAAGGTCTTCGAAAAAGAAAAAAAAAATGCTTGTCTACCATATTATAAAAAAAAAGATTAATCAAATTCAAACGTTTAGCCGTGATAAAACGCATCGCCTATTTGTAAAGGAAGGAGATCAGATGAAGCAAACTAGTTGGTCAATATTACATGGACAATTTCGTAATTTGCACAAATTTGGACAACACGTGGCAAGCATTTGATACTGATGATACGTCATAACCACTTCAAATAAATTCCGACAGATTGGGTCCTTTTAAGTACACGTATCTCTCGCCTCTTACCCAAATTTCCTCGATTGCATCTTCCGTCCCTTGTTCTTTAAAAAAACTCTCTTCTCTCTCTCTCTCTCTCCTCGCCGGCGACGATCCCAAGCTCTGTCGTATCTCCCGGCGATTATTGCATACGGCGTTTAATTTCTCTCTGGAAACATAATCCTTGAACTGTCTTTCCGGCATCTAATTATAATTCTCGAGATTTAACTAATCATCTCACGCTAGAATCATGAATCCTGAATAGTAAGCTATAATCTTATCCTCCTTGAATCTCTTTATTTTGATTAAATTATTTGTAATATAGTTGTGATTAGCCTGGATCTGGAATTATTAATTCGCTAATTAATCTTTTTGTTCATAACATGTTTTGGTTGTTGATGTTTGGTGGTGTGTTTATTAAACTTGATTATTGATTTATGTCTTTGATTTGGTAGTGGCTTGATTGCTTAGATCTAGGTGCTTTGACTTCAGATCAGTTGATTTGATTTATTAGTTTTGTTTATTTATGAGAAATTCATTTGTAATTTATTGATTGGTTTTGAAATTTTCAGTGATTACTTGTTCAAGCTTTTGCTAATTGGAGATTCAGGTGTCGGAAAATCTTGTCTACTTCTGAGGTTTGCTGTAAGTTTCTATTACATGGCACTTATAATCAAATCTACACGTTCTTGATTGTTTTTTTAATTGAACTGAGGTTTGCTGTAAGTTTCTATTACATGGCACTTATAATCAAATCTACACGTTCTTGATTGTTTTTTTAATTGAACTGAGGTTTGCTGTAAGTTTCTATTACATGGCACTTATAATCAAATCTACACGTTCTTGATTGTTTTTTTAATTGAACTGAGGTTTGCTGTAAGTTTCTATTACATGGCACTTATAATCAAATCTACACGTTCTTGATTGTTTTTTTAATTGAACTGAGGTTTGCTGTAAGTTTCTATTACATGGCACTTATAATCAAATCTACACGTTCTTGATTGTTTTTTTAATTGAACGATTTGCTTAGAATCTAGGTGTCTGGATATCTTCAGATTCAGTTGTTATTTTGATCTTATTCAGTCTGTGTACTTCATTTATATGAGCACAGTTCAGATGGGTTTGTATTTATTGATTTGGTTTTGAACATTTTTCATGAGTGATTACTGTGTGTCAACGCTTTATTGCTAATTGGAGATTTCAGAGTGGTCGGGGGGAAAGATCTTGTCTAGCTTCTGAGTTATTGCTGTAAAGTCTTCCTCCATGTACATGGCCACCTATAAGTCAAATCTACACGTTCTTGAATTCGTTTTTTTAATTGAAAATGAGGTTTTGCTGTAAGTATTCATAATTACATGGCATATATCAATCATAAATCTAAACACGTCTCTTGCTTTGAGGTTTGCTGTAAGTTTCTATTACATGGCACTTATAATCAAATCTACACGTTCTTGATTGTTTTTTTAATTGAACTGAGGTTTGCTGTAAGTTTCTATTACATGGCACTTATAATCAAATCTACACGTTCTTGATTGTTTTTTTAATTGAACTGAGGTTTGCTGTAAGTTTCTATTACATGGCACTTATAATCAAATCTACACGTTCTTGATTGTTTTTTTAATTGAACTGAGGTTTGCTGTAAGTTTCTATTACATGGCACTTATAATCAAATCTACACGTTCTTGATTGTTTTTTTAATTGAACTGAGGTTTGCTGTAAGTTTCTATTACATGGCACTTATAATCAAATCTACACGTTCTTGATTGTTTTTTTAATTGAACCTTGCTTCATCCATTGTATTTTAAAATTGGAGAGAAATAGATTCTGTGACATGATTTTGTTGATGTTTTTTATTTTCAGCTTAATTATAAGCTCTTAACTAAACCGTAAACTTAATTTTGGACAAGAAATGAGGAATGAAGGTGGTGATTGTGGAACTGAATGGTTGCATATCAAGTTGGATATTGTTGATTATCTTTGACGTGCTTTTCCATTTTATTCATTGTTTTTTTTTTCCGGTAACCAGGATGATTCTTATCTCGAGAGCTACATCAGTACCATTGGAGTTGACTTTGTAAGTAATTGTAGTTTGTAACTGTCACATACAAAAGCTTTGCCATTTTGTCGTTTCCTCAACTGATTCTTGTATAATTGATTTTTCATACTGAATTGTATCGTGTAGAAAATTCGTACTGTGGAGCAGGATGGGAAAACTATTAAACTCCAAATTGTAAGTTATGAAATCATCTTATTAACATGTCTTTCTACTTTATGTTTTTCTTTCTAAGCTTCTGGGTTGATTTGACTGCAATCATATTGAAGTTCCTTGATCCTGATGGTGTACAACATGTATTTTTTTTGGGTGATATGGGAACAGTTATGGGAATTTGTTTCTTACTACTTTGCTAGAAATATAGTTATTCTGATCGACTTCGATTGATTTTCCACGGACTATTATGGCACATTAGTAGTAAGTGTCAGAAGTTTGCTAAATGTTGTGTATCCAATGATAAACGTGCAGTGGGACACAGCAGGGCAAGAAAGATTTAGGACAATCACAAGCAGCTACTACCGAGGTGCCCACGGCATTATTGTAAGTTCTGCGTTTTCTATTTTAACTGTAAAGTTTCAATGCTTTGTTTCTCTCGCGGGGTTCACTTATTTTGGAGGTCTCTTGGCTAGGTTGTTTATGATGTTACGGATCAAGAGAGCTTTAACAACGTCAAACAATGGTTGAGTGAAATTGACCGTTATGCAAGTGAAAATGTGAACAAGCTTCTAGTTGGTAACAAGTGCGACCTCACAGCAAACAAAGTGGTCTCGTATGAGACTGCAAAGGTAACATTAGTTGTGCAGATTCCTTCATTTGCTTGCCCATTTGTTGAATGATTCGTTCAGTTACTATTCAGTACTCTCTAGAAGTTTTTGTTGTTGAAGTTGCAATTTTCCTTCTACAGGCATTTGCTGATGAAATTGGAATCCCTTTCATGGAAACAAGTGCTAAAAACTCCACAAACGTTGAGCAGGCTTTCATGGCTATGGCTGCTGAAATCAAGAACAGGTGCTCTAACATTCCTTTTCTCATGTTATATGAATTGTGTGTTTACTAGTTTGGAGCGGCAGTCATATAACGAACGTTCTATGTTAGGTCATGTTTTACTGCTTACCTCTTTTTTTGTGTGGTTATTTTCTTACAAACAGGATGGCTAGCCAACCAGCAATGAACAATGCAAGGCCGCCAACTGTGCAAATTCGAGGACAGCCAGTCAATCAGAAGTCTGGTTGCTGCTCATCTTAAATGGGAATCGATTTTAGTCGGCTTGTGATGTTAACCATGTTCGTTGTGGCATGTAAAACTAGTTCTCTCGATGCTTAGATAAGAAAATTATTTGTTTATGATTTGCTTTTTCTTATCAGTTGTTCGGCAGTTAAAACTTCCATTCTTTTAAATGTAATTCGATTTTCAGAATCATTTGTACAAATCAGGAATATTGGTGAATCCCAGTATTTACCTTCTTTCGTTCATCTACTCGTCTGATGTTGTTTTCTTCTTAGAATCATTTCAAGTAAATGCAACTGATATCCAAAATTTGGTTAACCCAGTTGGAAAAAAACTTTGGTAATTGGAATTCACAACATCATCACCTATTGCGAAATTTCTTTAGCTTTAGCAACATTTCTTAATTCAAAAATAACTCCAGTAAAGCTAATAAATAAAAATAATCTCTCCAAAAAGAGAAACGAGGTGCAAATTTATGAACCTACCAATAATCACCACAAGAGCAAAGTCCATCCTTAAAATGATGGAACCTTATATTATCTCTGACAATGATCTCTCTTTTTTCTATCGCTGATATGTATTTTATAGCAAGATGACAATCCCCACATACTCTCAAGTTTTTGAACACCCGAATTGGAGTCGTTAATGGTAATTTGATAAGGCCATAAGCAATTGCCAGCTTCTCACTGTGCCATAGCAAAAGCTGCTCTTTCTGCTCTTTCCCTACATCATGTAGTTCAAATTCAAGATCCGGCACATATCCTGCTAACTTCATTTTCTCCTCTAACTCGTTCAGTTTCCTATGTATGGAAGCTAATTCCAGATGAACCCTATCACTTGACCGGAACTTATGAACAGCGCTCTTAACCTCGAGCCAACTATACCCAGGGGTCTTCACTACCCTGCTACTTTTCATTGATTGCCTGATTCTGGCAACTTGGTCCCATTGATTCTGAGCTGCATAAACATTTGCTAGTTGAACATAAGCCGTTGCGCTTGTCGGATCAAGATCAAGCAAGTTTTTTGCAGCAAACTCAGCTATCTCTATGTTCTTGTGTATCCTGCAAGCACCCAATAGGGTTCCAAATATAGAAGCATGAGGTGTAAAAGGCATTCTCTTTATCAAATCTACAGCATCATCTAACTTACCAGCTCGACCAAGAAGATCAACCATACATGTGTAGTGCTCTGGCTTAGTTTCAATTCCATAATCACTCACCATAAAATGAAAATATTTAACCCCAAGATCAACCAAACCTGCATGATTACAAGCCAATAATACTTCAACAAATGTGATCCAATCTGGCTTAATTCCTGCCTTTTTCATTTCTTCGAACAAAGATAGAGCTTTCTCGCCTGCTCCATGTTGAGCATAACCAGAAATCATTGCATTCCAAGTAATTACATCCTTCCGTGGAATCTGAACAAACAATTTCAAAGCGTCCTCCAAGTCTCCACATTTACAATACATGCTAACCAATGATGTCCCTGCAGTTGTATCGCTAGACAATGGAGATTTACAAACAAGTTGATGAACTTGCTTTCCCAATTGCAAAGCAGACAACTCGCTACACCCTAACAAAACGCTACTTAAGGTAGCTGAATTTGGTTTTATACCAAACTCTAACATTGCTTTGAAAAGCTTTACACTATCTTCAGCTCTAGAATTCTCAATGTAACCTGAAATCATTGCATTCCAAGTAACCACATTCTCTTTGGACATCTCTTGAAACGATCTCTCTGCTAACTCAATCCTCCCAAACTTCATGTATCCAGTTATCATCGCAGTCCAAGCCACCACGCTCTTAACTGGAGCAAGTTCAAAAAATTTCATAGCTGAATCCATATCTCCACACGCTATGTACCCTGAAATAATAGCATTCCATGTAATGGCGTTTTTATTAGGCATTATCAAGAACAAATCGTGCGCTTTCTCCATTTGCCCATTATGAGCAAAACCCGAAATCATTGTATTCCAAGAAGCTGTGTCTTTATTAGGTATTCCATCAAAGAAAGCTCGAGCTGTTTCCATGTCAGAATTATGTACATAACAAGCTAACATTGTGTTATAAGATATAGTGTCTGGTTGAGGCATTTTATCAAACAGTTCACGGGCTTCCTTCATTTTCCCGCGCCCTTTGGAATAACCAGCTAAAATTGAATTCCATGTAACTGTTGTTTTAACTGTCATGTTATTGAACAGAGCGAGAGCTGAATCCAGATCGCCGGACCTGATATAACCAGTAATTGTCTGGTTCGATAAAATGACATCATTGGGTTTACCGTGATTAAGCGTTCTAGTTCTATCGAAAACTGTGGGTTTACTGGAAGAAAGCAAGTGGGTTTTTGGTGGTGAGCTGGAGTTATTATCTGATATGGAATAAGGCTCCGGAAGAGAGGAGGTGGAAAGAGAATTTTGCTGTTTGGTTGGTGAGAAAATTCTGAAACAAGGAAGAGAGAGCAGGCATCGTTTTCTAGAGAAACTGTACATATTCCTGTTTCTTAGTATTAACTTGTAAAAATCTGGGAGAACAGAAAAAGGAACAGTGGGAAATTCTCGAGCTGTAATATTGACAAAGTAATCGAATTGTCTTGACAATATATAAGAATAGTCTCTAATTTATAATGCTACTTTTCATTTTCTGGTTTTAAATAACAATCAACAACACAAGACAATCATTAATGTCTAAATTTGATAAAAAAATATTTAATATTTATGATGAACAACAGATTGGAAAAGCATCTAACTTTATCAAATTCAGCTTTGAATACATAAATTTACTCTCTGACTTTGTAGCGTTAAATTTTACCGGAGCAGCAATCGTTGCAGCTCTCTAAATTTGGCCTTGCCTTAAAATTTGACCGGATCACCAGATGGATCGAGACCTGTGTCGAGAAGGTAAAAAACAAGATTTTTTTTTTTTTACCTTCATTTTTGATCAACCTGTTTATTGAATTCTTACTGATGGAAGTGATGGTGGGATTGATTTAAAATTGAATTACGGACTTGAAGAGAAAGAGGATAAGCAGCAAAATTTTTGACAAATAGTAGGCAAATTTGATATCTATTTTTCTTCCGACCATTGGAAGAGGAAAATTATCTCTTGATGATTAGCAACATGCAGTAGATTGTACTTAAAGTTCAGCAAAATGCATCCCCCTAAAAATTCAATGTACGAAAGTTTGAAGTTGCTAAATTGGAAGGTAGATTTGTGCAACCAACCGCCACTTGACAGTCTATACCATTTCATCAAACCCAATAATGTCTCGTGCTAAAAATTGAAACGGCAATACTTAAACCATCACTTTTATCTAAGCAAAATCAACCTACATTTATCATTCTTCAATTTGTCACATGAAATGGTAAAACCACCTCAGGAGCTTATAAAAAAATTCAATCTCCAGGACATTTAGATCCATAACTTCGCCACCAAACAAATGAAAAGTGTACATTAAGTTGGAAGCAACAACATTGCTCATTCATTTCTCTTTAAGCATCAATTTAAAATAACTATTAAGAAACACAGCAGACAGAAAATTTAGAAAGGGCTACAAAGTACTTGACCTAATACAATCCAAAACTGATGCCACTACTCAGTCCAAGACAATAATGACTCCATATCCCTAATTTAAACCAAAATGGAAAAAAAAAAAAAAAAAAAGATGGGGGGGGGGGGAAAAACCATCAATCCTACATTTTATTTCATTCCTGAACAAATTTGTCACAATGCCATGGGTAAGACCCTCAAGGAGCTTAATAAAAAAATTTCAATCTCCAGACATTTAGATCCATAACTTCGCTCACCAAACAAGATGAAAAGTGTATCAATCCAATCTGGAAGCGCAACAAACCATTGCCTCATTCATTCTCTTTAAGCATCAACCTTTAAAATAACTATTAAGCAACACAGCAGACAGAAAAATTTTAGAAAGGGCTACAAAGTTAAAGCTGACCTAATAAAATCAAAACTGATGCCACTACTCAGTCCAAGACAATAAATGACTCCATGATCACCTAATTTTAAAAACAAAATGGAAGAAAAAAAGAAAAAAACAAACCGAAAAAAAAAAAAAAAAAAAGATGGGGGTGGGGGGAAAAAGAGTATGCATGCATATCAAAGTCGAGAAGGAATCCCAGGCAGATACCCATGGAGGAATATCTAAAATTTACACCCAAACGACTAAATGTTAAAAAAAAAAAAGGTTTATAATGCATGAAATAACATTTCCTGTTGACAACCTCTGAATCAAGCTCCCAAGCACATAGCAAAGGAATTTCAGACTGTAGATGCCCTCTGCGACCATGAAAGATGAAGTAACATCTCACTTGCCACCCAAGGAGGGGAACTGCCCACGATCTTCAATTGAGGGGGCTGCAACATCACGTGCATTGCCTCCAACATATCCACCTCTTGAACCACGGCCACGGCCTCGACCACGGCCACCAGAGTAGTATTTCTCTCCATCAGCAGGCTTCAGGAACTCAGTTATGCTGACAGACTGCAAGCAAATACATTTGCAATCCATGCAGAGAGCATACAAAGATATTACTGAACAAGTAATGATCAATGATTATGTTTATTGCAATAACAAGTTAAGCCCAATTGAAAACATCCAAGAACGGCATAAAATAATGTGATAGCAAATTAAACATATCCACCTTTTTGGCTCGGTCTTCTTTGTCAGCAGCATCCTTTCTCTTGTCCTTTTCAGAACCCTTGGAAACAAATAATTGCATTTCAGTGTCTATTTAACTTTTTCAAAGTAAAAAATCATACATCATTCAAGGAGTGAACACTGCTCTTACCAGTTTGATAAAGATGTCATCATTGCCCTTCTTGTTTGAAAGCTGAAGCATGGAGCCAAACTCTTTCTCCACATCAACCTTTCGTTCCTCAGTCTTTGATGAGAGCAAAGCCTTCCTCTTTTCTTCAAGAATTTTCTCATACTCTTCCAAGGTCATTTCCTATTCACAAGAAAACAAATAAGTACATCTTCATCAAATATTGTTGTACAAAACTTATAGTTAAGATGCAAAAAAAAAAAAAAAAGGCTCCTTTCCTCATCTCACAAGAAAACAACAAATAAGTAGCATCCTTCATCAAATATTGTTGTGCACCAAAACTTATAGTTAAGATGCAGAAACACAAGAAAAAAAAAAGAAACGAGATGGCATTTGGCATCTTTTCAACCAACAATGATCAGCGCACTCTCACTCTAGAGTGCAAACTGGCTTCACCCTTATTGTACGCAATCGGAATCCAACAAGGGTACTCCCAAGAGCCAAGACTTAATCATACTCGCGCGGCAAAAGATTATAAAAAAAAAAAAAAAAAGAAACGAGATGATTTGCATCTTTTCAACAACATGATCAAGCACTTCACTAGAGTGAACTGTTCACCTTATTGTAGCAATGGAATCAACAAGGGTACTCAAAGCAAGATTAATCATACTCGGCGGCAAAAGATTATATTTAAATCTGTGACCCCAAGCAAACTAAATCTATTCACCCAGAATGCCACTCAGAGAAGTTACATCCTTTACAAAATAACGTGTGTGCATCAATTAAAGATGTTTTAGCAACAAGCAAAGAAAAGAAGTACAATTTGAATCATCAATATAAAAGAAGGAATTTACCAGAATTTGAAAATTTAGCTTCCAAAGCCACTAGCATAGTTTAAGTAAATAGGAAAACAGGTGCCTTAATTGAAAATTTTGGAAAGCAATTCTACAATCCCACTATTCCAAAATGATAAAAGAGATGCACATTGACAAAGACGGAATAATTTTAGAAAAATGACCCACATTTCATTCATCCAATATTCTTGCTGATTTTAGAACTCGTTTAAAAGGAATAAACGACTAAGCAGTATTAGACAACAGTAGTTTCTTGAGTGTGTAAATTAAACAAAACACAGCTACCTCAGCTATGAGGACATCTACAGTTTTAATAGATCCCAAACAGCAGACTCGAACATTAGCACAAATTCAAATTTTGTTAGAATCCATTAAACAGCTCAATTTCACTGAACCAGTGACCAAATTAAGAACGACATTTAAGTTTAGCTTACAACGAGCCAATCTGCAGTGCAGCAATAGTGCTATTAAAACTTGGAGAATTGTAGCAACAGTTGAAATAATTCAATCGTTTCACTGAACCTAACTATGAAAATGCAGATCAAATGAAACCAAAATACATCTGGTTCCAGAAAAGACAATGTACCTTGTCCTCCACCTTTTCTTCTGGTTCATCTGCTGGACTTTCCTTGTTGGCATCTGCAGCATCCTCCTCTCCTGACGGCTTCTCCGCAACAACGTTCTTTTCAATTTCAGTAACAGGTTCCTCAGTTTCCCTTCATTTAGCCAAAAATAAAAAAGTAACTGTAGATGTAAATATGAATGCCTTAAACCACAAATATAAGCTCTCTTATAAGACCAAAAGTTTTAGGAACAAATTGGATTGGCACAATAGGTTACTTACTGTGCTATCTCATCAGTAGGAGTCCCCCAATTACCACGACCAGCTCCATCACGTTTGATCTCATTCCTGTGAAATGATGAAGAATAAACAAGCAGAGACAAGCAACCATGATTAATAACTTGGAATAACATAGGTGGTGTAGCGGATTATGAATGATCATTTCAACAAGCACTAACCCACGACCAGTGCCACTGCGGCGTTCATACAACCTTCGTGGACGTTCACCTTCTGCAGTTTCCCCATTACTAAAACCACCTCGGCGACCTCCACGGTAACCACCACCACGAGGTGCGCCATAGTTACGCCTCTCAGATGGCTTTCCTGCATCTCCCTCTTCAGAAGGCCTGAATCCTCCAGTGAATCCATTGTTGTTACCATAGGTAGCTTCATTGTTATTAGAATCCCGATTAAATCCACCTCCACTTCCACGTCCACGGACAGAGCCACGTCCACCACCTCGACCTCCTCCACGGCCACCATCAGTCTTAGCTTCCCTCACTACTCAGTAGGATTAAAAGAATTAGGATGCACAAACAATATATATGCAACTTAAACTCAAGCCATAATTTATCTCAAATAGTACCAATTTTAAGTAGAATACCCATAATGTAAAACAAAAACTGACAAAACCAAGCCACATAAGATCCAGACTAGAAAATATGTTAAACAAAAGCAATAAAACGATTAAAAGGAATTGTGTAAAGATGAGTTAATACTGTGCGCACTAATCAGATGGTAAAAAATCACCACATCTATTAGTATGGAACAACATGGATACAGCTTCTAATATCATAAACACCCAGTCAACTAAATCCAATAAACACATTGAAAAACAATTGGTTTATGACTCTATACAGTCAATGCAAACATGAAAAATCAGCCAAGACAACTGACAGTTAATACATTCAATCAAATAATGCCAAAGAGAGAAAAAAAAATTAAGGAGGAAAACAGGAAAGTATATGTATTGGCTCCTAACCCTTTCGGAAAATCCCTCCGCAAAATAAATAAAAATAACAATAATTATCTTTATCAACATCTCATGAACTTGAACTTCAAAACAGGTAAGAACCTAATTTCATCACCATATAATACAAAAGCCACTGATAAACAACCGATATTTGCTAAAAACATATAGAAATCAACTATACACTTTAAAATTAACATTTCTAACACGAATCGAATAAGAAGACAGAATAAACTCTACAACTAAATAAAAAGAGGATATAAAACGAATCGAAGCTCACCAGCCTGAGCAGGAGGCGGTGGCTTGGTAGGAAGCTTAGCCGGCTTAGCAGGCTGAGATTGAGCTTGAGGCTGAGCTGGAGCCGACGGCTTCTTAGGCTTTTCCACCTTGAGCTGAGCCGCAGCAATGAGCAGACTGGGGTCTTCATTGTCATCGTCGCCGAGGAGATCGAAAGGGTTCATGGTTGCCATTTGTTTAGATAGTCGAATAGATAGACAGAGATTGAAACCCTTCCTTTTTAACTTCTATTAGTTAAAAACAGCAGCCAAGAGCCTCTAAAGCTTGTTCGAACCCATGATTGATAAACCGATCTAAGTTTGAATCGATATTGTCTGAGGATTGTTCGGGAGGTGAGATAATGAAGACGAAATGATGAGAAAATTGAAGAGAGCTTTAAGGTAGTGAGGAAAACCCTAGCCAATGCGGCAGAGAAATAAGAGTGAGACTCAACCTAATCTTAAAAACCCTAGTGGGCAAGGATACAGTACACTAGGTTGCATACTATAATTTGTGCTTCTGTTTATTTTGGCCTTTTTTGAAGAAAATACGTTGACGGCTAATTTTTTTGAAGGGTATGTTGAAGGCTAATTAATGTAATTAATCAATAAAATTAACATTTATGAATAAGATTTTTTCCAAATAAGGAATGTTACCATATGTAAAATCTAACATTAACATCAAATATATATGTTTCCCTTGGTTAAAGAAAAAATGTGGTCTCACTCTAACATTTTTATTTTCTATTTTTTATTTTTTTTAGGTTTCTAATAAATATTCTTATACCTTTTTAGGTGTGATACTAATTTGGTTGCCAAATTTATATTTATCTCTCGTTGTAAATATTTTTTACATTTCTATTTCTTAATTAGTACTCTCTGAATAAATATAGATCATATGTTATATTATGGTTAATAAAGCAATTAATTCTTTTGAAATATAATAAAATATTCGTTAATTTAACTAAATATTTTTTAAAAATTATAAAGATAATTATTATATTTAATATAAATAAAAATAAAATTGAAAAAAATAATATTAATATCCTCAAAACAGATTATTTTTATACCATGTACCGTGATTATACTCTATAATAATATGTTTGATATATCAAAATTAAGCACGGGGCAAATACGGAAGCTACAGGCTAAAATACAAATAAATGTATGTATTGTAGATTTTTAGATTTTGCATTCGGACAAATTAGAGAAGATGGGAGATGGATTCGTGGATAAGTGATGCCTACTGGTCTCTTATCGGATAATTCCACAAACTACAGAAATACCCAAAATATGTGTAAAAAAAATAAATAAATAATTGAAGTTATTGTCACAACAAATCTTGTTAACAACAGAATCATTAATTTTTTTAATGGTTATAAATATATCAGAATATTATTATTATTTTAGAGATTTATTAATCGTATTTCTTTTTTTATTGAATTTCACTTGTCTTTCTCTCAATAAATAGGTAATATTTCCACTTGTCATCAAAACAATTCATGTACAGTTATTAGAATAATAATAAAAAATTTGATTTTCTGTTAAATTAATTATGTCATGTTTTTAATTTTTAATAAAATACATTTTAATTGGCCAAACCTTAAAAAGACATTAAAGAAAAATAAAAAGGAAATTTTGGATTGTCAAGAGAGTAGTTATCTTACAAAATGTTGGATTATCAAGTTTTGTGGATTTTATTTAGAATTTTGATATATGTTAATAGAATTTGGTTTAATTGTGTTTCATTCAATAAAATTAGATTCATAGAAAATTTTAATTTTTTTTTATTTCAAATATAAAATCTTTGATTTACAAATTAATTTTGTGAAATTTATTTATTTCAAACAAGGGGCTAGAGAAAATATAGAGATAAAATTACAAGAGGGTCACCAAGAAGAGATATCTATTTGACTCATGACCGCAAAGATCATTTCTTTAGAATCTTAACCTACTCTTCTCCTTACCCAAATGAATCTGTCCATTTCAGAAAATCCATTGTTAGGCAGGCATTTTCTCTTTCATTTTCTGAAGAATATCCCCATGTTAGATTTTGTTCTCAAATTGGCAAATTTTTTTCCTATTTTGTAGCTTGGGGATTCCTTGTTTATGGGTATTGATCAAATGACACGAATGGGTGATTTTCTGTCACAGCTTTGAATGTGAATCACTACTCGGGTGTTGGTGGGTCAAGAGTTACAATTTACATTGTTACCAAGCTCAAACTTACCATATTTAAGCTAATTAGAGGCTAAATTTCAAAAGGCATATGTACAAAATAAATTATAAAGCCTATTAAAGACCTGAAACTATAACAACCGAGATTTGAAATGGTGATGGGAAGCAGCCGACCAGGTATCGAAGCAGTGGTGATAAACGTAAGTATTCAGTTGATCAAATCAAATTAACTCGGTTTTAGTTTATTTAAATATATTTTATAATAATTGAATTCAGAACCAAAATGTATAAAAATCAATTCAATGCAAACCAAATTAAATTAAGTTAGTTCGGTTTTGAGTTCAATTATTACAAATAAAATTAAATATTTTGAACTTAAAAATAAATTCAGTTAGTTATATACGGTAACTAAACCAAATAGTTTTATATATTCAAACCGATTAATAATTGAATTTTTAAAATAACAATTCGAAAATCCAAACAAAATGAGTTGATTTGATCTGATGTTTAATTAGAAACCATCAAACACTTGCCTAGAAGCTAAAAAAAAATTAAAAAATAAAGGGTTAAAAAGGGAACAAATCAACTTTGTCCATTTTTGTGGGTCTGTCGGATATGATTCCGGATTAATAAGGCCAGTTGAGTCGGACACCAAATGTTTAAAAAAAAAAAAAAAAAAATGCGAAAAGTCCAAACAAAATGAGTTGGATTTGATTCTGATGTTTAAATTAGAAACTCAATCAAACACGTTGGCCCTAGAAGCAAAAAAAGAATTTAAAAAGATAAAGGGGTTAAAAAGGGAACAAATGCAACTTTGTCCATTTTTGTGTGGTCTGTCGGATATGATTCCCGGGATTAATAAGGCCAGTGAGTTCGGACGAGCCAAATGTGTTTAAATAAAAAAAAAAAAAAGTTTACTGTGTCACTCCTTCCAAATGTTTAAAAAAAAAAAAAAAAAGTTTACATGTGTCACTCTTACCATTGGATTGAAGTCCATTTAATAAAATTGAACCCTAATTGGTAAGGAAAGAAAAAAAAATACACCCATTCTTATCAACTGTACTAACTTGGCTACTCATAATTAATTAGTAGTATAATACAATACTACTAACCATTGAAAAAAAAAAAATCCTTGGTTAAAAAAAAAATCATAAATAAGGACTCCAACTATGGCAGGCCCAATTGAGCCCAATCTCCCAGATGACTCGAGTCATAATTGGGAGCTACTATTTTTATGAACTGGGTTTTGGGCTGGATTTCCAACAAAGCAACAAACACAAAAGTTTATGTGCTGTACTTAAACAGGCCCAATATTGTTTGGGTCAAGTGGTTGACCCTTCCATATTGTGTTCCTTCATGCCTCCACATATATGGTCCTTTACTTCCCTTTTTCTTTTTTCTTTTTTTTTTTTTTTTAAATCAAGTCATGCCTGTTAATGTACAGTGATTATGTATTTGCAGTTCAGTTTTCATTGACAACCCCATGTTAATCCATAAACTTATGAGTTTGCCTTTTAATTTTCTATTCAATTATCTCACGGTGTCAATTATTGGACTCAATTGAAAAATTCAAGAATTTAAAAGACCTAAGTGAGCGCAATAAAGATGAAGGACCAAATTGAATTTTTGCTAAAAGGCCAATTACACCATTGTCCAAGAATTTATTATTTCCTTAAACTAAAAAATAAAAAAGTAGGTGTATTCAAAATGTGACTAAAAAAAATTTTAGTTCGAAAAACTGAGGTATAAATAAGGAGAAAAATTTTGAAACTCGTGACACCCCACTTTGACAAAAATAAATTATACAAAATTTTTATGGTTTTTTTTTTTTTTGAATTTTCATATTCCATGTTTGGAATATTAAGAAGATTTACTTTTTCCAACATATTATTATATCAACTATTAAGGATATTTCGTTGAAAAAATTATAATTCAATTTCAAATTTGCTTCAAACGTAATATATATATATATATATAATTTCGAGATATATAATGCTAATGAAATTGACAACACGAAGGGTATAATAAATTTTCATAAAGTTTACATGCTACAAAGTGTTTTCCTAAAATTTTAAAAGGTAAATTTATGGATTTAGCCTAAAATTTTTCTCTTTTTTTTTTTCTAGATTTTGTTTCAAAATATTAATTTAATAGAAGTTCTAAATATTAATTTAATATAAAAAACAAGAAATATTAAAATAGATAAATTGAAAAGAGATGATGAGAGTTTCATCTTCTGACAACAAAACACTATCAATCTGGATTCATGAGTCAAATTCAAATCGATATTTCCAACAATACAAGGAGTGGGGAAAAAGCTATATGAAAATAAAAGAAAAAGAAATTGGTATAAAAATGGCATATAAATAAATAAATATATATATATAGAAGGATGTTTGTATCACAATAACAGGTTTGACCTACAAATTGATGATGCCCAGCATGCGTCAGGCTTTTGATATGCTGGCGCCTAATTCAAAGAGCATGGCCGGAGCGATGACTTTTTTTTTTTTTTTTTTTTTTTAAAAAATATAACAGGTTTGAGCCCTACAAATTTGATGATGCCCCCGCAATCGCGCAGGCCTTTTGTTGATATGCTGGCGCCTTAATTCAACCGACAGCAATGGGCCGGAAGCGATGACTTTTTTTTTTTTTTTTTTTTTTTGAAAATAAGTAAAATAAATAATTTTAAAATATAACCGTATAGCTTCCATTTACTTTAAAATGATCCAATTAAAAAGATTAAAACTTTATATTCATAAATTTAAAAAATTTTTTTGAAACTTTAAAATATGTTTGAACTTTGAATATAATGCGTCATTCGTAATTTTTATATAACGTGGATACAGTTTATCTTGGGACGCAACATCGGAGGAGAGTTCCTGTCAGGAGTGTCTGGTGAGGATCGTGAGAACATTTCAACTAACCTGTCATTGTTATTATTACTTTTTTTTTGTCTTGTTTTTGTCTTTCCTTTTTTTTTCAGATGCACGTGTTTGTGAGATCGGCGAGGTCGCAGCCGGCCGCGCCGCGCGGCCTGAAGTGCGAGCCCGGGTACGGCGATAGCGGGCACGCAACACCAGGGATCGAACCGCGACGCGAGGCAGAAAGTGTATGGACGGCATGCGACACGGTGCCTAACGAAAACACACTAGGTCGTTGGATACTTGTTTTTTTTTGTTTTTTTTGTGTTTGTTTGTTGGTTTTTTTTTTTTTTTTTTCCTGTATGTTATTCTTATTTTTGGTGGAAAATTTAATTCAAAGGAAGCGTCACAATAATCGAAGAATTTAATATTTATTCTAATTTTACCGGAGTATACTTTAAGGTTAGTTAGTGCAAATTTAGTTAAAAATATGTCATTGATATGGATAGCGGGTCTGTCCCTAATATAAAGATTTTAGTGTTGTTTTCCGGGTACAGGTCTTGCATTATTCCACATAGAAGAAGCGAAACTACCGATTACAGACTATATACCAGTAGGTATATTTTTGTCCGATTTAGTTTTTTTTTTTTTTTTTTTTTTAAATAAAAAAATAAATAATTTAAAATATAACCTATAGCTCATTTACTTAAAATGTCAATTAAAAGATTACTTATATTTCATAAATTAAAATTTTTGAACTTAAAATTTATGTTGAATATAATGCGTCATTGAATTTTTATATAACCCTTTTATTATTCAATGGTGAAAATTTAATTTCAAAGAAGCGTCACATAATGAAAATTTAATATTTATTCTAATTTACGGTATTTTAAGTAGTAGTGCTAATTTAGTAAAATGTCATGATAGATAGCTCTTCTAATATAAAATTTAGTTGTTTCCGGTACATCATTATTCGCACATAGAAGACAACTACAACAACTATATACCATAAGTATATTTTTGTCATTTGATTTTTTTTTTTTTTTAATATTGACAATTTTTTTTTTAAAAAAGAAAATTTTATTGGGAAGGACTAGGGAGACAACCAGAAGTGGAGAATCCCTGCCTTTCAAGATTCAAACTCAAAGCATGTGCTTTGCTTGTATATAATTTTTTAACATTAGACCTTTGATCATTTAACAACTTCACTAAACTTCTCTTCGCATTTGCTCTGAAAGGACAATTCGAAGCTCTAAACCCATCCACCAGATGTAAGTAAGCCTCCAAATCATGACAACATGAAACATCTGCATTGGGTTTTAGATACGGAGACATTTTTGTATCAACACGTAGTTCAGCACCCACATGAGAATACGCCAATGGCATGTTGTCGTTTAGCTCTTCCACAACTGGTAATCCAGGAACTCTAGTTATGACGTCTTGGCTATTCACGATTCTTAAGACCTTGACGTTTTTAGAATTTATTTGGTTTGCGAATCCTCGGTTACCTACTCTAGGTCCGCCGAAGGAAAAAACTGCGACCGGCGGCATTTCAGAGGCACAACTACTTAAATCATCTCCTACTAACAGAGCCAAGGCTGCACCTAAACTGTGGCCTGTGACTGTAATGCTTAGGGTCTCCTCTTTGTATGCTTCTTTTAGCCTTTTTATCTCTGCAACTACCGATTCGGCTAGACTCGGCACATGATCTCCGCTCGTTTTGTACAAGCTCAAAAACCCACATTCCACCTTCGGTTGTCCATGGGTCGACTCATGGCTCCCAGGCATGTCAACTAAATGGGCTCTCATATTCTCAGCCCATTCAAGACACGTGGCAGTCCCACGTAATGCTATAACTATATCCCTTCTTCCCATCCTTTGGATCTCCCTCTTATCGTCACAAACTGCAACGTACCCGACCCAACTTGATCGTTGGGTCATCCACCCAAGATCCGGTGCTACTTCATCCACCCACTTAGGCAAACCGACCGATGACGTGGCGTAAAGACTTTTTGTAACCTTGTAAGACCTATCAGGCAAAGCCACGTGTCTAGGCAACGGCGCTGCCTCTGTTGACATGGCAGGATTTGAATGGAAAGCATGATACGCTGCTTGGACGAATTCACCGTATCGCACCACCTCTCGCCGGAGATTCTCATCTAGCGGGTCAAGTAATCCGACCCAATCATTACTTCCGTGATACTCTCGCCACCGTGAACCGAGATGATTCCTCGGAGAATACTCCTCAGTTTTGGATAATAACCGCTGAAGGCGGTTTAAATGCCGAGGTGACATTTCCTCGGCCGCTTTCATTTCCGGCCAAATTCTAGCCAATTTGAGTCCTTCAAGTAAAGCTTTACCTTTGTTTGCCAAAATCGATCCATTATTATTATTACTGTTAGTATTAGAAACTCTTTGAACTGGTAATGGATCAAATAGGTTTGGCTCCGGATTAGATTGTTTTTGAAGAATTTTATCGAGATTGGCCATGTGTTTCTTGGTCAGTTCAGTCGAAGTAACCGGTTTCAATGGTGACTGCTGGCATCTGAAACTGTTTCTTCTGGCCTGAAAGAGGTGGAGATTCTGTGCCGGAAGTGTTGCTCCGATCTGCATGGATTATTTAGAGATTGAGAGAAGTCAAAGGAGGTTGATATGTGATCTAAAAGGATAAAACTGCCAGTCGAAACAAAATAAGATGTAATGCAACAATAGGGGTATTTATAGACAGATGAATTAGTTCATGTTACCTAAAAAGCCCTTCAACTTATAGCTCAATAACAACAAAAACCAGCCTCTGTTTGTCAAAAAGTAACATTAATCAATATAAAGTAGAGGATGTTAGTTTGAGGGTCATAATTGGGAACTTGAAAATAAGGTGTGATTGTGATATCCGTGTTCAGAAAAACTGAAATCGCGTTCTTTCTATAATTTTTAATAATAATCGCTTCATAAAAGTCTGCCAACGAGTCGTGAAAACGATGTCCTTGTCGCGTTCTTTTTCTTTTTCTTTGTTTTTTTTTTTCTTTTCTCAGAGACAGGAAAGTTTAATTCAAATGACAACTTTAACCTTTGCCTGTTCTCATAGGATTGGCCAATTTGGTCGAAAAAAACCCTTCGTTGACATTTTTGCACTAAAATAAAGAATAATTTATTTAGGTTTAGGTGATTTATTTTTGGATGAAAAAGTATTTATTAATTTTTTAAAATTTGGAGAAATGAATAAGTGGCCGGTGCGATGTACGGAGGGAAGAGGACTCAATCTGAACGGTGAACCTCTCTCTTAATAAAATATTTGAACTACCATGTTAAAAGTTGTTTGCTTGTTTTGTTTTATTTGAATGTTTTGATCAAAGAAGAAAAATTTTAACATGTTAAAAAACATAGAATGAGAAATCTATGCATTGGAGATATTTGGTTGACTTTTGCTTTGACAAATTCTGTTTTATTAGCTCCCTCAGAATAGAGTTTTTTTTTTTTTTTAATCACAATGTCAAACAAGTACTAATAAATCAAAGGCTTTTAATTAACATAATGGATAATCTATACTCAAAGTTTAAATAAAAATTTAGATTTTAATTTCCTCTTCTCAATATTTTATAATCAATTCAACATTCTTAGTAAGTCAAAAAAAAAGTTCAAAAAATAAAATGATGAATAAATTACAATTTTAAGCGAATTTTATTTATAAAATTAGTATTTCATACTCAAAAGTCATCTCTGTTGAAAGAATTTTATCGAATAGTTTATGCTCAAGCATGGAAATACATGTAGACGGTGACAGAGCCAAAATTGAAAACAAAGGGTAATTTTTTTTTTTGAAAGTTGGAAGGACTAAATTAAAAAAGTACACTATTTTAAAGAATAAAATTCAAAATTTTAAAAAATTTAAAGGTAAATTTTTGAAAGAAAAATTTTGATGAGGGGGTTGGGGCCCCTTCCTCCATTAGCGCGAGTAGAACCTAAAAAAGATGTATTTGATAGTACTTCCTTTGTCTACAAATTTAAGTAACGTTGGAGTAGAGTTTTTGTCCATAAATGTTATGGTTTTGAGAATATTAAAAAATAATTAATAATTTTTTAATAATTTTACTATTATACACATTAATCATTAATGATATGAGATAAACAATTTAATCAAATTTATAAATTTTTTATTATAATTTAAAAAAATTAATTATTTTTTTTATTCAGGAAATTATATTCCGGACAAGGACAGTAATTACTAAGAAAGCGTCGCCAGAAAGTGGGAAGATAATATATCAAACGTTTTCAGGGTAGCGGACAATAGTTGACATATAGCATATTAGTTATTTATTAGGAAAAGACGTAAAGTACCAAAAAGAAGTACCCGTTAAAAACAAAAAATATATGGATAATTAGACATAAGATAAAAAAACAAATGTTTTTCTCTTGGAACTGTTTATGTTTTTTTGAGCGAAACATCGTTAATTTCATTAACATGATAATTCCAAAATTAGCATTGTGGTCCGATGTAATTGAAATGATTAATTGGTTAAATTTCAGAAGTTAGAAAAGGTGGCGGAGTTAATTACTTTTCAATCTCCACCTGGCAATTAATAGCTTTTTTTTATAGAAAAAAAATAATATAATTAACATCTTTTTGAAAAAAAAATTCAAAAATTAGGCAGGGAATCCTTTTTTTTTTTTTTTTCACAATTTGATCTCCTAAATAATTGGACCACAATCCAAATGAATTCCCTCCACAATTTCCTTCTCAATTCGTAGAATAGGAAACGTAGGGAAATCAAATTCCCAAAAGACATGTAATAATATTTGAAATGTCGCAATTGATTGATGTCAAACATAATGTCATGTCTTCCTGTTTGGCTAAATTGTGTCAAAAGCTTAAGCAATGAGACAATTGAACAAAATTAAAAAAAAGGTTAGTTTTGATTTAGTCCCTTTTATTACAATTATCCAAATAATTAGGATTGGGTGTGGTAAAAGGCGCTGAACATTGAACATTGAAAATAGAATAGAATGGGTTTTCAATGAAGAGAATTTCAAGTCAAATAGATATGTTTATGTTTATTATTACGTGCAAGTAGACTTATGCATGCGCTTGCTGGTCATGCAACGCCATTTACATAGCAAGAAAAGCTATATAAAGCTTAATTTTTCATTCAAACCCTAAAAAGGGTTTGAATTTTAGTAAATCAATTCAAAAATTGACGTCTCCAAATATATGAATAGTTCAAACAAATCGATTTGTGTTTTTTTTTTTTTTTTTTTTTTAAGAACATAAAATGTCCTTGTCCTTCCTGTTTGGGCTTAAATTGTGTCAAAAGCTTAAGCAATGAGAGCAATTGGGAACAAAAATTAAAAACCCAAAAGGTTTTATTTTGACATCTTATCCGCTTTATTACAAATGTATTCCAAAAAATTATTAGGGAATGGTGTGGTAAAAAAGCGCTGAGAACATTGGGGAACAGTTGGGGGGGAGAAATAGAATCAGAATGGGTTTTCAAAAAATGAAGAGAATTTTCAAGTCAATAGATATTGTTATAAATGTTTATATTAACGTGCAAGTTAGAAAGCCTTATCCGCATAGCGCTTTGCCTGGTCAATGGCAACGCCATCTGTACATAGCAAAGAAAAAAAGCTAATACAATAAAGCTTAATCTTTTGTCATATCAAAACCCCTAAAAAGGGTTGGAATTTTAGTAAATCCCAATTTTCAAAAAATTGACGTCTCCCAAAATTATATGAAGAATTAAGTTCAACAACCAATCGGGATTTTTTGGTGTGTTTTTTTTTTTTTTTTTTAGTTAATTTTAGTAATAAAAAAAAACGTTACTCAATTAATTTTGAAATCAGTTATACTGATAAAGTCCTTAATCACAAAAATTCCTTGTTCCAAATATCAAAAGGCTAAATTTTTCCAAGCCATCCATGAAAATTCACTAGGCAATGGATTAAATACATGAAAAGGATTTTCTAACATTTCATGTAATCTCTATTTAACTAAATTAAAAATTCCAAAACATCGTTTAATTAATTTTTTTTTTTTTTTTTTTTAGTTAAATTTTAGTAATAAAAAACGTTACTCAATTAATTTTGAATCAGTATATGATAAAGTCCTTAATCCAAAATCTTGTCATATCAAAGGCTAAAATCTCCAAGCATTCCACTAATTCACTAGGCAATGATTAAATACATGAAGGATTTTCTACATTCATTAATCTCTATTTAGCTTAATTATAATCCAAACACGTTTAATTAACTAGTTTAGTGGAAGATTGATTTTCTAATGTTAATTAATGAAATTAACTTTTGAAAAAAAATATTAATTAATGAATTATCATCATCATCCCGTCACCGTCACTTTCAGCTATTCACATGAGCAAAATGTGAGCAAGCAATTGGATCCTTAACTGAATTTGTTCACTCATATTTGTCCCCTCATGTTTCTCCCTTTCGTCATCATTCTTTTGTTTTGAAGCAAAAATCTGGAGTTCGGACCCTCATCTGAAATCAAAGCCTGCTCTCGTGAGGACCACAGTGAACTTAAGGAATGGATTGATTACCTATATCTATGTCAGGTCTATGAATCCACTCGCCGACCAAATAAATAAAAAAAATTTTCTTAAAATGATAATATTTTTTATCTTTCATTAGGAAAAATGAAAATAGAGTGAGAACAATATTTAAAAAACTTCTATTTTTTATTATACACGAGAGAAAGAAGACGAAATTAAGATTTCTCACTCTTTATGTTATTGTAAAAAATAAGAAGATGGACGAAACCCCACGTAGACTTGAATAGCATTATTAGGAAGTTCAAAATACACTAAGTTAAGTGTAGTATTTAATTCATATTATAAGACAAGAGATCTCAATCTCATGATATCACTATATTAAAAAAAAGAAAGATACCCTAATTTCTGTGGTCGAACTTCAAATTCAACGCTGAAAAATAACTTAAAATAAAATATCAATAAACACATGCATGAGCAAAACATGTGAACCTAAATAATAATTCGTATGATTCTGCCACGTCTCCTCTCCACTATGTAACTTGAGTGGCCCGACAGACAAGATTTGATTTGCCAAAACAACAGGAAGATTATATAAAGAAAAGGAGAGAATTGAAATACAATAATTCCAATTGGACTAAATGCTATTTGTTACTTATTTCTTGTTTGGTGCCAGACAAATGGTTAATGAAAGGTATCTATCTATACAAAGCCAAAAGCCAAAAGCCAAAACCCAAAAACCGATAGCCAGTGTTTTTTCACTTTATTTTCCACTATCGACACTGACGACAAGTACTGCTGCATTTGCAACTCTAAACGTGTGGTCCACTGCACAGTAAGTAAACGTGATTTTAATGGCGTTTTGTTGAAAGTAAAAAAATTAAAAACTAGCTGCTAGTTTACTCAACATCACTATCAATTTCCTTCTTTAGAGTGTTATAGTTGATAACCACATTCTTTGGAGTGTGACAGTTGATAACCACATTCATCAATTCATTATCTCCTCTTATAATTATAGTTATTAATTTCACCTTTCTAGCAGTAATTTTTTTTTTTTACTATAGACACGTTTATGATTATTACCTTACTATTTGGTGGTGTTTTATTTTAATTTAGTAATCTCAATTACACATCATAGAAATTAAGTACAATTAAGTTGTTCATTTTTATATATGCCAAATGCATAAGTTGAAG